GACATTTTGTCCGCAGGTGCAGAACCTCGTCTGGCAGCTCCACTTCGCAAATGCGAGACCGCACGTGCGAAAATATAGCCCGCAAATGCTAAAATACTGGGCAGAATACATAAAATCGGGTCTTAGCCATTTTTACTCATTTTAGAGTTTTAAGTCTCGGATTTGGGCGATTTCAAGGGGGATTTTCACGACTTTGAACTAAGTAAGTATTCTTTATCATAAAGTGATTATATTTCACAAATCCATGTCTATATTCATCATTTATTTCGGATTTAGATGAAAAAATTGAAATTTTTGTAAAACTTTCCAAAAACAAAAAATTAAGATTTGAAGGTCCATTTGATATCGGAATTGGACAAATTTTGTATGGTTGAACTCGTATCGGAACGGGTGTTCGGATTTCGCGAGTTTTTTCCGGGATTTGAGACGTGGATCCCACTGCCGAATATTTTAATGAATTTTGTATTTTTATCCGAAAAAATTATAAATTCATATGGAATTAATTCCTATGATTAGCATTGAATATATTGAATTATTTGTGAATAGATTTGAAGCTTTTGGAGGCAAATTTAAAAAGAAAAGTTGTGGTTGAATAATTGATTGGAATTTGCAAAGCGAGGTAAGTGTCGGGGTTAACCTTGACTTGAGGGAATAAAATCCTTAAATTGTTTGTTATGTGAATTGCATGTAAATGACGTATAGGCGAGGTGACGAGTGTCTATACGTCGTCAAATTAATTGTTTGCCTACTTACTTGAAAAATCATAAATTATTTTTAATCAAAAATTAATTATTATAATAATTGTTTCTCACTTATTCTTTGCAAATATAAATTCTTGAATTCATGCATTAATTGTTACATGCTATTTGAATTATGTGCCTTAATTGTTATTTGACATTTAGCATATTAAATATTAAACTGCCTATTTGCTCCCTGATTTCCATAATAATTTGCTATTTGTCATTGTTTGCTTCATAATTAAACCATAATTATTGTATGCTTGTTGTCTTGTAATTTTATATTAATTGTTACATTTATTGGGAAAATTTCTTCTATAAGAATTGGTAAATGAAAATATTGGAGGAGCGGGTTGCACGCCGCAACATGATTGATTATAATGAATATATTGGAGGATCGGGTTGCACGCCGCAACAGACTTATTAAAAGTCAATATTGGAGGATCGGGTTGCACGCCGCAACAGACTTGTTAAAAATTTAATATTGGAGGATCGGGTTGCACGCCGCAACAGACTTGATAAAAATGAATATATTGGAGGAGCGGGTTGCACGCCGCAACAGAACTGAATGTGAATATATTGTGAGAGCGGGTTGCACGCTGCAACAGAATTGATGGAAATGATAATTGGTTATGACTGCTGAGTTGGCTTCAATTATTATAAATGAGTTACCTGATTTATTTCTATTATTGTTGTTGTTACTAATATTGCGTACAGGTAATGTAAGTGACCCGCCTTAGCCTCGTCACTACTTCATCGAGGTTAGGCTCAGCACTTACCAGTACATGGGGTCGGTTGTACTGATACTACACTCTGCACTTCTTGTGCAGATTTTGGAGTTGGTCCCAGCGGCGTACCATAGACTTGCTCGGATTTCAGCTATCAGAGGAGACTTGAGGTATAACTGCATGGAGTCCGCAGTTCTGAAGTCCCTATCTATTGTACTTTAGCTGTGTGTTTATTTTCAGACAGCTTTATATTATTCAGACCTTTATTTGTATTTATTCTAGAAGCTCGTGCACTTGTGACACCAATTCTGGGATGGTATTTAGACACCGTTGTTTGATGGATTATTTCACTATATTTCAAATTTTGCATCCGCATTTATTTTCTTGTTATTAATACATTTAAAAACTATTTTAAAATAGATAATATTATTCTAACGTTGGCTTGCCTAGCAAGTGAAATGTTAGGCGCCATCACGGTCCGAAGGTGAAAATTTCGGATCGTGACAACTTAAGTGTTTTTTAAAGACATAAAGAGTATAAATTTATAAGGTATGCGTACTTTTGGGGCTCGATAATAGCGTAATTCAATGGACAGATCCGGGAAGATTTGCACAAACAGGATCAATTAGTTCTACTGTTTGAGTTTTGTCCCCGTTTAAATATGTTTTCCAAAAAATGGTTTGTGGGTTTGAACTTGGCCACAAGTCATGGACATTGTCACAAATTCAGATGAATGCCAAACTATGTCTTATCTCAAGTTATGACAAATTATTATAACTCTAATACAAATTGTTCGATTGACTGTTAAAATTTGTTTGCGTTGATCAATTGTTCAAAAATTTCTACAAATCGTCAAGACTTGACACTGTTAAAAGTTTACCTATCTTATTAAATTATTCACAACGTATAATGCATAGCTTTAAATTTTAAAATAAGTATTAGTATAAGTTGGAATTGAGGTGAGGATAAAAAGAATGAAACATTGACAGGCTTAGTGATAGAAACTAAGGGTCCACCAAACTATGTAGAGAAGCAGGTACTCTATACGTTCCCACAGAACGCACGCACACAGCAGCAAGTAAATGACACAATTGAATTTTACGTGAAAAACTCTCAGCTCACGGGATTAAAAATCACGACCTACCCTTGTAGGATTTCAACTTCACTACTGAGCAAACTTTAGATTACAACCTATTGTAACCTAGGAATTAACCTTTAATCCCTCACTAACTTGTAACAACTCTATTACAAGCCACTTTGTAATAACTCTATTACAAAGACTTACAACTCGACTAACTCTAGCCAAGACACAAACACAAGACTTATGATTTTACAAAGATTTCCTACACAATGCTTCTAACTAAGCTAAGTAGGAATTACAAGTAAAGTGCTTTAACAAAGGTGCAACACAACTAAGGACATATAATGACTCAATACAGGAAACTGGTCCTTCGTTATGTTGTTCTTTGTTCTTGATGCCCTTGAGAATCACTTGCAAGATTGACACAGAATTGAGAGAATGCTTGATCGATTCTGAATGTGCAAAGGTTTTGTTTTGCCTTTGCTTGATGTTAGTAATTCATTTGTGACATCACTTGGATGATGCAAGCAAGTTAGGCAAAGGGCATTTCCTATAAAGTTGACTGCTGCATTGTATTTGCACCGTTGCATGTGCAGGCAGCAACTTTACAGCTGTGAGGAGTTGACGTGTACCGTCACTAAAGGAACGGGTGCCCATCTGTTCCCTTTGTTGTTCCTTTGACTCTGAAGAGTTGAACCACATCCCCGACTTGAGACTTGTCGTTCTTTAAGTATTTGAGGATGTGTAACAGGTTCCTTATCTGGTTCTTATCATTAAGTTTGTTAGATCATCAAAACATAACAGGGATACATATAACCGATCACTTAGTTTGGATTTATTAAATTCGTATCTTCTGAAATAATTTACCTGCAGGTGTGTTCATAATCAGCTGGCCATATTCTTTCTTGGCCATCGTTTAAGCAATTCTTTAAGAGAAAATTAAAAACGACAACATGCATGATTAACACAAACCGTGGGGCAAAGAACAACTTTTCAGTAAAATAATTCCAAATATAACACAAGTTTTGAACAAAAGTTACCTACAAAAAGAAAAGAAAGAATGAAGTACAGGCGTAATTATCTTATTTGCAGAAGTGTAGAAACAGGACATAAAGGTTTTTGACACTTAAATGTTATCATCTCGACTTTCCCCGGTCCCCGCGCACAGAAAAACTTAGTGTACCGGGCTGCCAATGTTATATCTCGACGAAAACTCATAGGGTGGCCAGCATCGTTGTCATTTTCATGTCTTTGCTACTTGAGTTGCTGTTAATTGTTGTTATCATTAGTAATTAACTAACTAATTAATTTATGGGAGGAATCATTAGACAAGATGGATGTGCTAAACTTCTGCTGCTAGACGACTTTAGAGAGAACAATGAATGAATACTTCCAGCTTTGTAAACGAATATATGGTAATCTAAGGCTGGCAGAGGCTAATAAAGGTGCAAACTACACTTTCTTTTTTGATAATCATGATTAGGGGTGTACAAACCGAATCGGAAAAACGCACCAAACCGAAAAGTCAAATCAAACCGATTAAAAAATTCGACTAGGTTTGGTGTGATTTGGTTTGGTATTGAGTTAAAAAACCTGAAGCAAACCTAGATATAGAATTTTTATATAGAATTTTCTTTAAAAAAATGTCTAGAAATTTCTGAGATTCTCTTACGGGATATAATATTTAATAAAATATGAAGTGCTTCATATTTATTAACCTTAAATAATGGATTGTATGATCACTTTCTTATCAAGTGTTATAAAAATGTGTCAATTTCTTTGTTCTTCACTTCTTCCATATTCATATGTCAAGATCTATTAAATTCTTATATCTTTTTCTAATTTGAAGTGATTATTATTATCTAGGTATCATATTGATTTTTATGTTCAATTACTAAATTCGATTAACCTTGAAAGTGTACATCAACAAAAAATTATTGTCGGACGACTAAAAAGCTAACTATCATGTGTTAATAAGTAGATTCTCCCATAAGAATATTTAATAAATAATGCGTATCAATTTTTAAATTTTTACTAAACATATATTTACTTATAAAAAATTTAACAAAGTAAGATTGAAACAATATTTAAATAACAAAAAACCCAAAAAACCCGCCAAAACCGAACCAATCCAAATCGATATAGTTGGTTTGGTTTAGTTTTGATAAAAAACGAACCAACCCGGTCCATGTACACCCCTAACCATGATATTCGGGCAAGCTTGCACGTACCTCGACTAATTCAACAAGGTACCGGCTACCTCTCACTAACACATGTATCAGGTAACTCTATCCAACAACTCAGATATCAGGTAACTCTATCCACCAAAGGCTTGGACATGTCCGGGGTAATCACCCAATATTTTTGCCTCACGCTAGGAAGCAGACTGCACTTCTTGATCACCACCTTTTGCTCACAGGAGTAAATTCAGCTAGGAAAAAGAAATAGTTGATGTTCAAGTTCAAGCATCAAGCTGAAATATTAGTCCATTATAAACAAGCTCTGCCATAGCACGTACATTAACATTCATCAGTGAGAAGAGTCGAATAAAACCTCACTGTGCTAAACATAAAATGATACCACTTCATTAAGCCATTACAAGCGTACATATATAGTGCAAAATGACTAATGAATGCGCGTACTTTGCAAGGTCGGATGCCCTTTAGCTGGATCCACTGCTGGCCTAAAATATCTTATCTTAGATGGTATAGACTAAAAAATGCAAGATCCCCCTCAAAACTTGAAATCTTTCTTCTTCGACTTGCCCTCTTTCTCCTGCATCTTGCGCTTCTTCTTCCTCTCATTCTGCAGCAGTTTGACCATGTCAGAACTAGTATGCATTAAAAATACCAATGACAAGAAGCATAGGCCGACTGAGAAAGACTATATGAAAGAGACAAGATGAAATAATCACACACCTCTGCTACCATGTCACTGAAGTCCTCTCTCTGACTACGCAACTTCTCCTCTTCTCTAGCTTCTTCGTATCTATAGAAAGGCAGACAAAGTTTTCAGTACATTCTGAAAAAAATCATATGGAATCCACTTAAACAGTATTAATAATGTTGCTACTCACTTGGCTGGCAGGACATTGTCCATCAGTTCCAACTCTTCAGGTGCCAAAGTAACATCAACTCTATCTGATTTCTGACCTTTAAGCAGATCGACCTGCTTTCAAGCAAAATTTTAATCAAAGTGTCCCCACAAAAATAAAGAAAATAAAATAATAGGGACCAAACAGAAACAATCATGAAATACCAAATCTGACATTGGGCAAAGAAATAACAAGATATCTTGTGGTGGCATATCATGGTCTTCAGTTCATGCATTTCCACTTAGCTACCAAATACTTTTCAAAAAAAAAAATCCACCATTTTATATTCTATCAATGATAATACATTCTTTCCATCTTTCACAAACAAGTCACTAAGCCTCAAACAAGCAGAACAAGATCAATCAGATGCAAAATATAATTATAGAAGCCAAATGAAACCGCAAGTGGAATCCACTGATCATAGCATCAAGTTCACAAACAACAAACTACTGTCACATACTCGGGGAAAATATGGTCCAAACGACAGGATGAGAGCAATCCATTCTTGTGAACATGAAATCTAATAATACCACTTCATTACCAGGGTTCAAATAACCCCATAAATAGGATGAGGACACTTCACTCCTGTGAGAATTTTCACATGAAGGATAACAACAGAACAATCATAATGCACTGCTTTCTGCTTTCAACAGTTCATAAAGTCAATGTTCAACGAGACAACGACCACATGAAATTTGCATGTAAATGCAGCATACAAGGAGAGAGGACAAAAACATTCAATTACCCTTTTGGCAGCAGTCTTGTCTTGAGTGCCGGTGTTAATCACATACCTGTACAGCCAAAGGAAAATCAGTCACACAGTGGAGAAAAGGGAGAGGTGCCAGATACAACTCTCTGCAGAAGCTTAAACAAGTACTTACGTATGAGTTGTTCCAAGAAGAGTTCCTGGAGCTACCTTTTCTTCTTTCTCTTCAAGCACCTTCAAAAACAAGTATATGTAAGTGAGTTTCTTGACAAAGAGATAACATTTGTCTATTAGAATGCAAAAAACAGTATCCACATATAGTGCTCTCACCTGGTAGAGAGGCTTCTCAGGCTCCTTCCTCTGCTGCTTCCGAAGGTCAATAACATCGGGAGTCTCAACTCCAGTTGGAGTACTACATGAACAAGCAAAGACATTGAAATGTGATACCTCAAATGTAATTAAAAAAACTTAGGGTCTGTTTGGAAAGCCACCAGGTAATTGGAATTAGTGTAATTACCACAGCCTAGTAATTACACAGTTGTATAATTACGACGACCTGTTTGTTTGTCATAGTGTAATTACAAGTTTACTGTTTGGTTGCACAAGTGTAATTACTCGATTAGATTAAATTTTAAATGAAGTAATTATCAAAACTTAAAAGTTAATATAATAAATGTATGCCTATAAATTTTTGTACGTATAAATGATATTATATTTACTCCGTATTTAAGATGTATAGTTTTTCGTGAATATACATTAATTAGTAATCATATATTTATAACTAATATTGTAAAAATAATTTATATATATATTCCAAATTAATAATATTTAGTTTAGATACTTACAAAAACTAAAAACATACGTTTTGTAAAAACATCATAGAATTCATGTTTGGTAAAATAAATTAATATGTATAAATATAATGTCATAACATAATTCAAATGTTTGACAAAACTAATCTATCAATTCTAACTAAAAAATGAACAACATGCAATGTGAGCCAATACTACTAGAACAAGTAAATTGGGACCATGAATATAACACAATTTCAAAATCCAAAAAAAAAAAAAGTTTAGCATATGTCAAACTCCAACATAATAATAGTAAATTCCACTACAACTTAAGATTAGGAAACATAATAAGTTTATAATCACATTCAACAACGAAATTTCACTTTAATTGCATCACTCATTATATGCCAAGTTTGTTAATGACTCGTTATTTCTAATATTATGAGGTGTAATTTCAAAAATAGAATAACAAAATAAATAAAAAATAAAATATAAGCAATTACATGGAATCACAAGTAAAAGTAGAGAAATAAACGATAAATAATGAATAAAGAAAAATATTTTTAAAAATTTCAAAAGAAATTAAAAAGTAAAATAAAATTAAAAAAAATTAAAAAATAGAAATAAAAAGTTATAAAGAAAATAAATTAAAATAAAAACAAAAAGGAAAGAAACTACAAGGTAATTACGAGGTAATTACCACCAATTCTCACCTCCCCTGAGAATTGGAGTGTGTAATTACACCCCTCCAACCAATTACACCAATTCCATGCTGACCAAGTAATTACTTGGCCAAACAAACATGTCAAACTGTGTAATTACACCCAATTACACCCAAATCCAATTCCTAGGTGGCTTTCCAAACAGGCTCTTAAAGACTGCTTTCACAGTGCATGTACAGATTAGAAAGGAGAATAGAAAATTAAGGGAACAGTGACAGTTTGAGCTAATACAAGTTTTCTATAGATTTTGTATGATTAAAAAAAGGTTTGGATCAAGTACTACCTCGAAAGGCTGTCCACAGACTGAATACCATCTTCCAGTTCCTCTTCCTCCATCTCCTCTTCCACTTCCTCTTCCTCCTCTTCTTCCTCTTCCTCCAAGTCACCCCAATGCTTAGTCTTATCAACAGGTTCATCCTAAGCATGACCATAAATGGCACGACAAACGTAATTAGAGACCACATCAATATCAAGCACTCCTACATGCGATGTTTCTTAGCTACTTCAAAATTATTCATGGTTACCCCAACACCTCTGGTAAGTTTCACAAACTTTAAATTGGTGCATTTCCAAAAATACATAATTATTTATAGGTAATGATTTGCATTTTAGTTGGTCTGGAACTACATTGAAGCAAAATGTTACGCCAGGAACTTACTTCCAGAAAGAAATAACTCCAGCAAAGATAATACAAGTAGGCATACCTCATAGTTGGGCTGGTCTTGTTGCAGCACACCAAAGACATCTCCATATAAAGGGCGCCCATACTATGTCAAACAAATAAGGGAAAAAATGTCAAGAACAATAAACAATTACAGCAAAAGACACCATCTTTCACAATATGATACGGAGGATATAAAATGTTCCAATAAACTGAAAGGTTTTGGAACTTACCTCATCAACAGGCGGTTTACCCCAACCTCCAGGGTGATAGCCAAACTTGGCTCCTGGTGGAATAGGAGCATTGAGTCCAAGAATCTTCAATTGAGGATAAGAGGGTGGAGGACCATATCTCTGCAACAGCAAATTGTGAGTTGAAGAAAAGTGTTAGCAAAGCGAACTAGCAAGAAGACAATAGACTTAAGGGGAACAAAAATGATCACCCCCAATAAAACAGCGATTCAATTTATGCTAACTTACCTGCATATTGATCAGCCAAGGAGGAGGAGTGCCTTCAGGCATACCAAGAGCCTCTTTCAGTTCTTGAGACAAAGTCCCAGGTTTCATCTCCCTCAACTTCACCTGCATATAGAAATCAAGATATGATGCAGATGTCGGAAAAAAATCTAACACATTATAGCCCAATGAATCAAGCATCAAACATGGTCATATAAGAGTACATCAACAAAAACTGTGGCATTACTATTCTCAGGAATTTGATGAAATACCAGAAGGCAGAGAATGATCAAAGCTGTAAGCAAGCAAGACATGAAAGAGGCATAAGTCGATTCAACAATGTGAAAGAGAAATTATGTACCTCAAACTCCTTTCCTTCATAATATAGATCCCCAAGGCTAGTCAACTTTGGTTTAGTCTGATACTTAAAAAAGGCATCATGGAGAACCTACATAACATGATCTGGAGACTCAGCAGAATAGTACAGCAATTAACAATTTAACCAGAAGTTTCCATGCACTTGACACGGCATGAATTATTTGTCAGGTTCAGTAATCATCAAGGAATTAAAGAAAATTGGGAAACCTGATAATCAATATCCATCTTTCCCATTTTTGGCTGCATTCGTTCCCGCTGCTTTTGTTTAAGCTTCTTACTGTCTTCCTTTTCAATGTAAGCCTACACAAAGAGAACAAACAAGATTATCAAACAAGGTCAAGCATAAACAATGAACAATACATACTAGCAGAAAATAATCATTTACTGCATCTTCTCAAACAAAAATATTTTTAAACACGATGTGTCGTTCCAGGTAAATACTTTTCATATCTGTTTACTAACATAATTGGAGCCTATCTTTTTCAAATTAAAAGAATTGGGTTTCTAGGGCCATACCAAGAGCAGTCAATATAAGAAAGTATATCATCAAGAAATTTGTAGACAGCATCTTCTTTTTGTTGAATTATGCTTTATCTTTACACTATTTCAACAACAAATACGTTGATGGATTTTATATAGCTACTGAGTCATTGACATTATTCATTCATTATCACACGTCTTGATGTGATGCTGAAATGAAGGCCATCATTTCTTGATGCCAGTAGTTTTTAAAAGTTCAGAAAATTAATACCGACCCTCAGAATTTTCTACCTTGGGTATTAACATCTAAAATAAGTTTAATTTATACAACATATTCCTATTTCACGAGGCCACCTGAGCAAGGAATATATAAGTAATGGCGCAAATTTCACCGTACTTGTCTAATTTTCTCAATTCCTGTTGCAGCTATAAAGTCAGGCAGTTGAAACGGCTGTTTCTCGATACCACGTTTCCCCTGAAAACCAAATTCAAGGCTTGATGAGATAAAAATGTAATACAAGAAAGAGAAGTTAATAATAGCGTATCCAAAGGACTAGTGAATGGCTTAGATGACCACACTGGCTGATAATAGCAATAGATTTAGGCATTTAGCCACTTCAAGCCGTGAAAAATGCAAAGACAGCTAAAATAATTTGATTTCTGCAGTGAGGGAACATTTAGTTACTCGAACTTGAAGGTACTTAATGCAGCTATACTTTTCGAAACACTTTGTTGAAAAGTGAAAGAAATATCTTTTGACCAACCCACACCAATAAACAGAGAAACCCTACAACCCCAACCCACAAAATATACACAAAGATAGAATCATGAAGATTCCATTTGTCAAAGACCTACATGTTGAGGCTCCACCAGTGTCAAGGCCGCTCTCCTGCAAGAACCACATATATACATATAAGACAAACTTCATTGATTTTATCCGTCACCCCCTTCCCAAACCAAACCCTCTTATTTAACCAAGTTCTATCCTTATTTATTGTTACATGAGTGGAAGAGGTACAAAATATCTGCACTATCATTGGGAACCTAAATAATTTTTTTGGTAACCTAAATATATGAATTAGCAGTGATGACTGACCTGCAAAAATTTTCGTTTTTGACTCCAGTGTCGTGGAACAGGAACAGTATTTCGGTAAGATTTCAGATATACCAATAGCTTAGGGTCTGCTGCAGTAGCGTCCCATACCTAAACGACATATAACACATCAATAAGTAAAATAATCATCAGTTAGAACTGGAATTTACATACAGAAATGGATGGCAGTAGTCAGATGAAGACGAGCAAGACGCCAAATACACGAGAAATCAATGTTTAACTATCCAAGAGTGCAAAAGAACCTGCATCAGATCATGCAAAGACTGATTCCAGTCTGAGGAGAAGGAAAAGATGATGAAGATGATTATGATGACGATGATGGCAACTCCATTAAAAAACAACAGACTTATTATCATAACAAGATTTCATCTACTTTACGTGAACTTTTAATTGTAACTATGTATGGAAAAGGTATGGGTATGAGATTCATGCCCAGATCTGGTCAACTTTTGGTAGGATTCAGGGACTCGTGTGGGCAATTGCTCAGTATACTGTAGGAGGATAATAGAAAGGAGTAAGATGCCGGATGTACGAGAAACCAATGTTACACTGTCAAGAGTGGGAAAGAACCTGCATTACTCATGCAAAGGCTGGTTCCATGAAGATGGTTATGACATTAAACAAGAGCAGACTTAGTATCATAAGAAGATCTCATTCCATGTTATGCTGACCCTTCAATCGGGACTATTTATGGAAAAGGTCTTGGTATGAGGTTCATGCCCAGATCTGTTCAACTTTTAGGTAGGATTCTTCGACTCTTCGGACTAGGGGTCAGTTAATAGGAGGATAATGGAAAGAAATAAGATTTTCTTTTGGCCTGCCCAAGACAAATTTACGAAGAGGATAATATCAACTACCTTATGGGTGAGCATTTCAACTTGTTTCATAGCAATAATATCTATAAAGTTTCACGTTTGCGAAATGTTCTAAAGCATAGAAATTGAAGCACGGCCAAAGACAAAGCAGATATTAGAAAAGGCACGACAAGGAACTCCAAGGGACTTGGCGGCGCCAGCATAACTCTGAAAGGATAAGAACAAGAAACCCTCAATGATGGACTGCCCACCAGAGGTACAACCTCTTTTTAGGCAGAGAAATTTGCAGGGAAACCAAACTGCATAGGATAAATGATCATAATGTATTGTTGGCGTGTATCAGAACAAAATAATAATAATGTTCGACTATCCATACCTCAACAACATCAGGCCGCGTGCTGACTTGTTTCAGTTCTGCAATCTTCATCCTACGTTGAAGCTGAAATAGAGAAACAATTCAGTCTTTTTTTTTATCAGGGAGAAATAATTCAGTCTTAAATCTACTCGAGGTAAGCAAATAGAAGTAACTAACAAAATCAGCAAACAGAAGCTGAGATGGACCTTTTTCTTTTTGTTAGAAATACCCTTCTCCTTCGGCTGAGCGTCCTGCTCTTCCTCTGAATCTGAATAAGGGTTTTTCTTTAAGGCTGCATCAGCAGCACTCTCGTCCATCTTATCGTTCTCCTGATATTCCAAGAAAAAGTTATGCAAATGGTAAAAAATGAGAACTGATGTCAGGAATAAATTTCAACACCTTGAACGATAAAGAAGATCGAAGGCAAAACATAGTTCAGTTGAAACTAGTTCACACAGCATCATATACCAACAATGAAGCACTTTATACCTCAGAACCAGTAGCATCGACGAAACAGAATTTCTCAAAGACCTTCCTGAATTCCTCATCCAACTCGCCATCTAACTCTGCCTTCTCTGGGACATATTCCACTTCAACTTGCTCCAAAGACTGAAGAATCAGAACGAAGCAAGGTAAAGATCAATAGCTAAACACCATAAAATGCATAACAATGTCACAAAAAACATCACAACAAAAATAAAAGTATAGTTTAGAGAAAGTGCTCATTTCATTATACAATAAAGGCTCTGGGAAAGAATCCAACATATAACAAACAGTCTCTGGAAAAGGATGAGGCATGTCAAAATAGAAGCTCATGCACATCACTATTTCAATTGCAAAAACAAGTTACTGTTTGGAAAGAGATGAGTCATGTCAAAATAGAAGCTCATGCACATCATCATTTCAATTGAAAAAACAAATTAACTTTATCCAAGCTATGATATTTATGACCTTAGAAAGACAAATAGATGAACATTGTTTCTTCATTACTAGCTGGACCTTGGATATTCAAAAAAAATCAACTTGTATACACGTTATACCATGCCCAAAAAAAATCAACAAACACAACATTTACGCTATAGTATGACAAGATATAGCAAAAATCAAAGGTACTAGACAGTACCAAACTATCCTGCAGCTTCTAAATAAAGAAAACCATATCCATTAGCAAGGTATATATCAGGCGTATATAGTCACTTTTTATTGTCTCGTCTGTTGAGCCGAGGGTCTCCCGGAAATAGCCTCTCTACCCCTCCGGGTAGGGGTAAAGTCTGCGTACACTCTACCCTCCCCAGACCCCACTAGTGGGATTCTAATGGGTGGTTGTTGTTGTTGTATAGTCACTTTTTAGACACGGTAATAATTATGTCAAATGGCTCCAGTTAACCCTACGAAAATGTACACGCACAGAGATCATTGATGCAAAGAAATTAATAGGATCTTCCAGATAAAACCCTCACATGACATAATTATGAAACACGAGAATTGTCAGAAAATACAAACTCAACATCCACCAGTCCGTAAGAAGCCCACTAGATCAAAACAATTTCAAAGAAGAGCAAGTAGTCATTTTCTGGAGAAAATTCCTTACAGATAGTCAAAAGAGAGAACATTTGCATAAATCACATTTCCCATAATTAACATATGCAACCATATAGTAGTCCCCAACGAAATGGCTGAGCGGTTGATGCTTAGGAGTAAGACTTAGAGAACTCATTTAGTTCGAAACTTTGAATGTGAGCCCATCTGTTGTAACCCTGATAAGCAGGCTTACCAAGCTGTTCTCAAGCTGGCACATTAGATAGCCACCTATATCGCATATAGATTCAAGTTATATACATTGCCAGCATAAACTTTACCTTATCAAAAAGAATGTAAGATGTTGTTACACTGTCAGTATATTTTTGACATGTTATAGAGGATTGCTTCCCATTCTTTTTATGTTACCAAATATTTGTATGAAGAAATGGCTGCAGTTGCCTTTTAAATAATATGATGGTGTAAATCTTATTACACTATCAACGCGTAGAACTTACCTTTTAAATAACCAGACAGTGTAAATCGTTTTTACACTGTCAATGCATAGAACTTAGATTGATTGCTTACTCAGAAAAAAGTGAAGTCCCATAGCTATAAGGCTCAAGAGATAAAGAAAACGGTGGATACTTTTCCGGGTATAAGATGACAACCCTAATGAATTGATTATGAAGGTAGCTCTTAGCTACATAGAGCTCAAATTCCTTAATTGTTATTGCCTAGGCTTCGATGATCAATCCGTGCCACATTTAGGTTTTGATCTTCGGCCATCCCGGTTCTCAGGACCCAACACTATATTATTCTTACATATTTCCTTTAAAATAAAAAGATGCAAAAGGTGTTGATATGTCCAATCCACATAGAAATCTTACCCTCTTCCACTACGGCCATTGTCACTTTGGGATGGGAATGAAGCTCGAGGAGGCAGGGAAGAAAAGGTTATTCGCTATTGACTTACCCTCTATATTGGGCGGACTCTTCAAAATTCCTGTTGCACCCTTATCGACACGACATAGGTATATGGATGAGGATGTGGGATCCATAGCGGATTTAGTCAACTTACCTTGGATACTTTGATTCCATTCTATGACCGAGAAGTATAGATTGATTGGGCATTTGGTTTAATTCTTGGGTTTATGTCTTTTTTTTATAATTGTGGCATCCAGACCAGCTTACACGTATTGTGGCGTCCGGACCAGCTTACACGGACCTTGACTAATTCCACAAGATACCTGCTATCTCCTACCAGCAACAGGTACCATATAACTTTGTCTACCAATGCTTGAACAGATGAGAAGAAATCACCTAGGGTTTATATATATATATATATTATGCGCGATATCTTATGAATAAAATATTAGTGTTTATAGAGAATAAAGTTTTAATAATTTTAGTTCAATAACTTTAACTAACCGAAATATATACTTTATATGTCATAATATACATTAATTGGCCCTAGCACTCGTATCCGCACTCGAATTCATACCTCTAAATCCTAAAATTTATGTGACAAAGAATCCAACCTCTAAATCTGCACCCAGATCGAATACCTACACCCCGGTCTGAGCAACATAGCTTACCCTTATATCAAGCCTTGGTATGGCTCAATATGTACTTTTTCTAATGGATTTAAGTAACATACACGGATAAGTATAAAGATTTTTTTACGCTATCAGTAAATTTTAACCCGTGATAGCAGGTTACTTACCATTTTAATCAAATTATCAATTATCATTTACTCCCAATTTATGTGAGGGTATTTGACTTGGAAGGGAGTTTAAGAGACAAAACTTATGGTCTAAAATAAGCCATAAAACTTTTTGTGACAATAAATCATCTCATCATGGGTAAAATTGAAAGTTTACCGTTAAACTTTGACTAAATATAAATAAATATCATTCTTTTTTTGACGGACTAAAAAGAAAAAATAACAACAACCCAGTATAATTTCACTAGTAGAGTCTGGGGAGGGTAGTGTGTACGCAGACCTTAACCCTATCCTGGGGTAGAGAGGCTGTTTCCAAATGACCCTCGGCACCCTTCCCTCCAAAAACTCCCCACCTTACTCTTGGGGTGACTCGAACTCACAACCTCTTGGTCGGAAGTGGAGGCTGCTTACTATCAGAGCAACCCACCTTGTCAAGATAAATCGAGAGAGAATGGGTACTGTTCATTAAGAGATTTAGCTGTAAATACCTAATCAAGTCACCTGCTTATGTACATATTTATTACACCGCAATGCATAAAACGTAAACTCTTTTCTAATGCATTCTAAAATTAAGAACAAGGAAAAATTGAAAGGCATGCATACTCTTACTATTTTCATGTTCATCATTCCCAATTTAAAAAACCCTAATTCATCGGCAAATCAAAATAAATGCTTAAATAATTGGTAAAAAGTATATCTCCACCATAACAATTACTCATCAATTACACTTTAAGATAATCTGGAAATAATACCTTCTGAAAATCGGAGTTCTCATCAGCAACGCCATTAGCGTCAGCGGCGGCAGAGGCGGCGGCGGTGTCACTGTCTTCTCCGTGAGACGATACCTTATTATTTTTCTTCTGCTTTCGCCGCCTACGGCGGCGCTCGTTCTCCTTTGATTTCCTCGAGACGTCGTTAGGGTTAGTTTTCGTATCGCCGTTGGAATGGCCGACGATGTTTGCTACCCCGTTTGCTACCTCAACCGTCATACTCCAGCTGTTTTGGACGAGAAGTGAAAGAGGGAAAATAGTGGAGGGACTAAAACAACCGAATCTCGGAATAAGAAGAACTAAATAGAAAATATCAGAAAGGTGGATACCCACACTAAATTATTCCGGGATTATAATCCCAAAATTAATTTAGGATAAAATAATACTAAGTTTATAATATGTTTGGTTGATAGTATAAATCTATCTGTCAATTAAATATAGTATAAATTTAGTACCACATTTTATCTCACCTTATCTCGCGTACCAAATGACCTTAAGGATGTGTTTCATGCGATTGGAATGATTTTTAAGGAAAAATATTTTTCTTTGAATGTTTTAATGAAAAATATTTTTTTGTATTTGATTGGTGAGTGGAAAATATTTTTAAAAGAATATTTAAACTAAAGATTAATAATAATTGTATACGGTCGAAATAGATTTCGGTCTCCGTACGTTTGATCGAGTTCGAATGGTAAGCGATAGAAGTGAGAGCTCGAGACGAGTTCCGAGGATAGTACAAACAAGCCTCGAGCTCCAAGACCGATCGAGGAATCGACTCGTTATTATTATCAAGCCCATGACCAAATCGAACCGCAAGGCAACATGAAGGTTGTTGGAGATGCACAAACAGATTGACACTCACCCCGAATATCGAACTCGAACCAAGGCCGAGGGCTCGACCCAATACCGAGCTCGAGCCAGTATCGAGTTCGCAGACAGGAGCCGTTGCAACAACACTTCATCATGGGTTCTCCACTATATATTTTTTATTATAAATAAAGTAAGATCCTTCTATTATAAATAGGGGAATCCTTGTAAGCACAAAGGGGATTCACACATTGTAAGAAAAGACTACTTCTATTTATTGAAGAATAAATCTCTTGAGCTTGTTTTACTCAGCATACTCACTCTTCTTGTTCAATAATTTATATCCTGTTTCTATAGCCAAGAATCTAAACATTTCCGCTTCTATGTACAATTTATATCAAGCTATATCACATATCCTTAGAACTACTTATAAATTCAACTATATCCGATTTTTCGAGTAAAAAGTTTGGCGCACACCGTGGGGCTAAGGATAATAGTGGTTGTTTGATACAAATTCGGATTACGCAACAATTTACAACTCTGAATCAGCAATGGCAAACCCTCGATTCATGGCATTACCTATCGACCACGAAGCCGGCCTTCAGGATGAAACCAACAACTTGATACCTGGGGCCGGAAGGCCACTTAACGATGTCACTGAAGCTCGAGTCGAAGTACCTGAAATCCGAGTCGAAGTACCGCTAGATGTCAATTCAAAGTGGCTCTTGAGGCGATCCAACGTTCCGAACCGAAAAAAAATATTTAGGGCGGTACTCGAACTGTAGCTCGAGACGCCCATAACGTGGAGGAGATCGGAGTCAGCTTACGGATGATCTTCGAGATGTTACAAGCCCAGAAAATAGCGATAGCTCAGTTGCAGAGCCAAACTCAGGTACAAAGCAGGCCGGAGTCCGATCCGCTTCGAGAAATCACCCAAAGAACGGAGCAAGCCATAGTGAAGTCAAACGAGCAAGAATCGGGGACTACTCCCGAAATTACTAAATTGCTCGAGGAACTCACAAAACGAGTCGAAGCTAACGATAAAAAAATAGAAACATATAATTCCAGGGTCGATCAGATCCCGAGAGCTCCACCAATGATAAAAGGGCTTGATTCGATGAAATTCATCCAAAAGCCTTTTCCCTCAAGTACAGCCCCAAAACCAATCCCCAAAAAATTTTGTATGCCCGAAATTTTTAAATATAATGGTACGACCGATCCCAACGAACATGTCACGTCTTACATGTGTGCCATCAAGGGTAACGATTTGGAAGACGACGAGATCGAATCCGTGTTATTGAAAAACTTCGGAGAGACTCTCTCGAAGGGAGCGATGATTTGGTATCATAATTTGCCACCAAATTCCATCGATTCTTTTGCCATGTTAGCGGATTCATTTGTAAAGGAAGATGATGGTGCCATAAAGGTTGCAACAAGGAAATCAGACATCTTCAAAGTAAAGCAAAGGGGTAATGAAATGCTGAGGGAGTTCGTGTCCCGATTTCAAATGGAACGCATGAAATTGCCATTGGTCTTAGACGACTGGGCCATCCAAGCTTTCACCCAAGGGTTGAACGAGCAAAGTTCAATAGCATCACGTCGGCTGAAGTAAAATTTGATCGAGTATCCAGCAATAACTTGGGCGGATGTACATAACCCATATCAGTCAAAAATCAGGGTCGAAGACGACCAGTTGGAAGCTCCTTCCGGATCCATACATCAGAATAGGACATCTATTAAAAACCATCGGGATATCGACAGAGAGCGAGGGTCGAACAGAGACCGATATCAACCGTACGTCGCAGATCGAATGAATAACGGCTCAGCGCGCAATTTCGCTCGGAACAATCGAAGGAGTGATCGAGGACAAAATTCTCGGGGGCTTATGAGCAAGAGTGGCTTCGATAAATATGGCAATCCTATAGAGGCACCTCGGCTATCGAAGTACAATTTCAGAGTCGACGCATCGGGCATTGTATCGGCGATCGGAAGAATCAAAGATACTAGGTGGCCCAGACCCATGCAAACTGACCCTTCCCAAGGGAACCCGAATTTGATGTGCAAGTATCATGGTACGCATGGCCACAGGACCGAGGATTGCAGACAATTAAGAGAAGAGGTAGCCCGTCTATTCGATGAGGGCCACCTTCGAGAGTTCCTCAGTGATCGAGCCAAGCATCACTTCAGAGAAAGGGACGCCAGCAAAAAGGATAAACAAGAAGAACCTCTGCATATCATTCATATGATCATCGGTGGGGTCGATACTCGACAAGGACCCGTGCTCAAGTACGGCAAGATACCGGCCATACGGGAAAAACGAACTCGAGGTTATGTACCCGATGGCACTTTGTCATTCGGAATTGAAGAATCCGAGAGCATATCTCAACCTCACAATGACGCTCTGGTAATTTCTATCCTATTAAATAAAACTCAAGTTAAGCGTGTTTTAGTGGATCCAGGTAGCTCTGCGAATATCATCCGATCTTGGGTAGTAGAGCACCTCGGTTTGCAGCATCAAGTCATGCCCGCAGCTCGGGTCTTGAACGGTTTCAATATGGCCAATGAAACAACTAAATGGGAGATTACTCTACCAGTGAATGTAGCTGGAACCATCCAAAATACCAAATTCCACGTGATCGAAGGGGATATGAGGTGCAATGCCCTACTCGGAAAGCCTTGGATCCACAATATGAAGGCAGTGCCTTCGACCCTCCACCAAGTAATGAAATTCCCTACGTCGGACGATGTGAAAATAGTATACGGGGAGAAATATGTTGCGAAGGAAATATTTGCGGTCGATAAGGTAACACCGATACCAACGCTATCGGCCTCAGAAAGATCGAGCACTAAAGATAGATGAGAAACCAAATAGCAATCACAACCACCAGTCTCGACCGAACCGGTGGAAAAGGAAATAGAGGGTAACGAGGAAGAGTTTCTGACACCTCGATCTTTCATCATCCCCGACGACTCCGACGCCACCAAATCTACGATTGAAGAACTGGAGCAGGTTATATTAATCGGATATCTGCCCGAGAGAAAGGTATACCTGGGAACGGGATTGACCCCCGAACTTAGGAAAAAACTTATTCAATTTCTTATCGATAACATAGACTATTTTGCTTGGTCCCATTTAGACATGGCAGGGATCCCACCGTCGATAACAACGCACCAGCTGAGCTTGGACCCTAGGTTCAAATCGGTGAAGCAAAAAAAGAAGACCTCAATCCGAGGTAAAACACACATTTGTAAAGGATGAGGTAACTAAACTTCTCAAAATAGGGTCAATTCGGGAAGTAAAATATCCCGAGTGGTTAGCCAACGTAGTTGTAGTCCCTAAGAAGGGGAACAAACTTAGAATGTATGTAGATTATAAAGATCTAAACAAAGCATGCCCCAAAGATTCTATTCCAATGCCAAGCATCGATCGCATGATCGATGCCACAGCCAGTCACGAGATCCTTACTTTTCTCGACGCCTACTCCGGGTACAATCAAATTCGAATGAACCCGGAGGACCAGGAAAAGACTTCATTTATCACCAAGTACGGAACCTATTGCTATAATGTAATGCCATTCGGGCTAAAACACACAGGAGCTACTTACCAACGCCTAGCGAATAAAATGTTCGAAGAACAAATAGGTAAGTCAATGGAAGTTTACATTGATGACATGCTAGTTAAGTCCCTACGCGCAGAGGACCATTTGACTCATTTGCAGGAAACGTTCAAGATCTTAAGGAAATACAACATTAAGCTCAACCCCGAGAAATGTGCTTTCGGGGTTGGATCGGGCAAGTTCCTTGGTTTCATGGTATCGAATCGGGGAATTGAGATCAACCCTGACAAAATTAAGGCCATCGAAGACATCACCGTAGTGGATAACGTGAAAGCAGTGCAAAGGCTTATTGGGTGGATAGCTTCCTTAGGCCGATTCATTTCACGGTCATTAGATCGAAGCCACAAATTCTTCTCTCTACTCAAAAGGAAGAACGATTTTGCCTGGACCCCGGAATGCCAACATGCACTAAAACAATTGAAGCGGTACCTATCGAGCCCACCAATACTTCACACTCCGAGGACAGATGAGAAGTTGTACTTATACTTGGCGGTATCGGAAATCGCGCTAAGTGGCATCCTAATTCGAGAAGATCAAGGTACACAGTTTCCTGTTTATTATATAAGTCAGACCTTAGGGGAAGCAGAGACTAGATATCCTCACTTAGAGAAATTAGCACTTGCACTAATAAGCGCCTCTAGAAAGCTAAGACCATACTTTCAATGTCACCCCATATGCATTTTAACCACTTACCCACTTCGCAATATTTTGCACAAACCCGAACTATCGGGTCGATTGGCCAAATGGGCCATCGAACTCAGTGGGTACGATATCGAATATCAACCTCGTACGACCATCAAGTCCCAAATTTTAGCGGACTTCGTGGCCGATTTCACGCCAACCCTCGTACCCG